TATTAAATGTGTTCTTTGATTAGTATACGTCACTATACTGACAACAGAGAAATGACTTAATTGTCCCAAGACGCTGAATGGCTACTTTACGTCCGCTGAATCAGGCGCTAAAGTGTAACTTCAAACCCAGTCGTGCATGAAAGCATCTAATCTACACCGGCAGCAGAGACGTGGCTTGAAAACGCCCTGTGGACCATTTAGTAGAAAATTTATCTCGCCTTCCTCCAAGGACGGAATTTTCATGCAGTCTCCCGCCGATAAGAGTGAAAAATGCATCAAGCAGGAAAAGTCTGATTAAAAAAGGGCCGCGGCTACAGATAAAGACGACGGCGTTTGATTTGGCCACTACTCTCGGGTTTTCCTTGCCTCTTCCTTGTTTTTCTTCAGCTCCGCACACATATCTCGAATGCTCTCAATCATTCCAGATTCCAGACCGCTCCAGATTACTAATCACCTGCTCCTAATGTTCTTTATCTCCAGGCAGCCAGCTGCGATAAGGAAAGCGCGTGGTTATTAATGGAGTTTTTTTTGTTTTTTCCTTCTTCAAAGGTGATGTTGATATGAGATCTATTTTTATCTAAAGTCGATTAACAAAATATCTTTTTTTACACTGTCAAATATCAACATAAATAGGTAAAATATTTCAACACAACCTCACTCTTCTGTGAAACATGGAAAAAACACAACCCCACTTTTTTTATTTGTTTACAGAGGAATCAAAGGATTGAAATAGTTAAATACTGTCTGTAGGTTAATCGAGGAGGTGGTACATTCATTATTCCAAATTTTTCGAGATTTTCTCTCCACGTTTCTATAAAATCAAAATATGAATATTATTTCAATATACGTGTAGTAAAAACAAATCAGATGATTTGCCCCAGAATGTCACTGCGTTTAAAAAGAATTTTCCGATCAGAGAGCCTAAAAGAAAAATTCACTAGCTTGTCAGTGACAATTTGTATTGGAAAAATTTTGGAGAAGAGAAATAAAAGTATATAGAAAAATTATCAAATTTTCACTTATCTTTGGACGTTTCGGGACCGATTCTGCTCCCGTTTTCAACATGAGAAGAGATTATTTCAATGGCGAAGTCTTATAATATGTCTTAAAGCTTTTTAGTTTTCAATGACAATTGGTGGCGTTGGCAATAAAATGAGTTACAGGATGTTTTCATTGATTAATCTTGAATTTACCATTTTCATATTCAGATTTTAGTAGTGAATACCATGTTCTGTCTATATCAACTGAACAAGAAGCAATGCTATTGTCTCCGTTCAGAAGAATGCAAGCAGATTCCTTGATCTTTCTCTTCCCAAAAAATTTGGAATAATGAAAATGAAATAGTTTTTCACAATATTTCCGCATACGAATCATGTTTCTTGCGCTATTCATTAATTCAAGCATGCCTTCTCATTGTGCTGTTGTACAATGCACGAAAAATGCAGCGAGAGACGAAATTTATGATTTTTCAGGTAAATAGTCATCTAACATAGTTTTCATTATGAAATTTTGTCATTTCTTATTAAAATTCCTACTGCCACTACTGAAATGGAAGCTAATACTGCTAAATGATTGAAAATGTCTATAACACACACGATCATATTTCGTTAGCATGTCAGACCAGTCCTCTTGTTTGATTGCATGAATTCAATCTTCTTGCATCATTTTAGAAATTTCACGAGTATATGTTCCTATTGCAGAAGGAATTCCGATGAGGAATCATGGAAATTACCAAATTTCAAAAGGTACTTACTTTTAAATCATAGGTAATGTACCAACCGGATTCCTTCGTCTCCCGCTGCATTTTTTGTGCAGTACAATGTGATGGCATGCGCGAATCAATAAATAGCGCAAAAAACACGACTCGTTTGCCAAAATATTGTGAAAAACAATTTCAATCCTTTGATTCCTCTGTAAACAAATAAAAAAGTGAGGTTGTGTTTCAATGATTCACAGAAGAGTGAGGTTGTGTTTCAATATTTTACCTCCAGGGTCGGTCATCTGACAGTTCTTGCACGCAACCCATAGTAGAATATAAACCCAAGGGCTGAGAGAGAGGGATTGTGAAGAACTTTAGTAAGATGGTTTATATTAGTATATTATTCAACGAGCGCCTAAGGCGATTGCTGTAATCATCTGAATAGCCGTATCTACTACTATTCAAATATCGAAACATATTTGACAGTTCAGAAATATATCATTGAAAATAAGAAAAGTTATATATTGCAAAATTACTAAATCTAATTCAAAATAAATACAAAAAGCTCAAAGTCATTTCCACAAAATGTTCATAGGAGCTCTTAGGACTGCTGGCTGGAAACTGTCCTGCACTGATGAGCGTCAAAGAGCTCGAAACCGGTCTGTAGGTGTCTAGCGTAGCCTGGCAGAATCGAAATCAATAGGCATTCAGGAAAGAATCACTTGTATCAGTATTCGTTTATACGAGTCGATGCATAGATTTCGGGAGGATGTAATTTATTGTTTTGCGTGGCATTAGCCAGGAGAGTAGTTGTTTTTCTCCCGAAATCTACCATTGTTGATCATTTTATGAATATTGTGTGGAAAGGACTTTGAACTTTTCGTATTTATTTAACATTTCATTCCACTTCGAGAATTGTGGCTATTTCGCAGTTCAAATTCAGAATACTTATTGACAAAAATTTCGTATTTCAATGAACAACTTGTAACTTATTTCGATAATGTTCATCGTGAGAATATGATAAACTATGTTAGATCTACAGGTAAAAAGTCGTGCAAGTGCATCCGTACATCTTATCAGGTATTATATGCCATTGCAGTATGTGAAATGAATCATATCATTGCAGAATAATGATTAATGGCGGCTACTCTCCTATATCAACAATGAAAATCCATCGTTCTGATTGGTCTGTACTCATCTATTCGAATCACCCGTACCTAAGTGTGCCCAAAATGAATTCTTACGTTCTGCAATTTACATCTAACTGTCAAGTCCTATTTTATGGTTGGATACTCATGGTAGTCACTGTTGAGAAGGAAAAACAGTGAATTATCATTTTTCCGTGTATTTGTATAATGGTGTCTTTTGAATTTGCGTGTATTTCACAAACAGTATAGTATTCTACTGTGATTTAGTAGATCGAATACCTACCTCTTTGAATTTGACAAGACGATGGGATGTCACATTATTACTCCATCATACTGTGATTATTACTCTGAATTACTCGATTCATCACAAGAATGTCTGTCGTTAACTGTTGAAAATCGAGTTACTCAATAGTTTTATACAGGGTTACTGGTAATTCGTTATTTTCCTTTGTGAAGAGAGGTGGTAAGGAGTGAATTCAACCCTAATATGCATTAGGCAAAAGTCAATAGTTTTTGGGATGTTTGAATTTTTATATTTTTCTCCGGAAGGTAGTCTTTAACGGTTTAAAAGTTAGTTTTCCGAAAATATGATGTATATTTCCTCAACCTTTCAACTAGAATAACTTGATCAACACTATGGTCTTATGTTTGGAATGAAAAAATTACAGGAATAATTTAGATCATTGATTCTTTTCATTTTTGAGCTATGGATTTTAACACTTTCTAGCGGTTATTTTTGAAAAAAACTCGTAAGCTATATTTGTCAAAAGTTTGTTTAAACTTCCAGCTACCTAACTGGGTTCAATTGAAACTAAAAGTTCTTGATAGGGGATTGTTATTTTAAATCAATATTAAAAAATATTCTTGAAAAATGCCTATCAGTATTTATTTTTGGAGATACAGCAACAAGTTGTATTTCATTCTCATTCATCTGCTCGAGGCATCCAAATAGCATATAAATTCTGAACTACTAGAGGAAAAAACATTATTGATTATTATATGTGTGGGGTCATAATCGCTAGTTCATGAAAACCCAGTAAATACCTTATAGGTAACCGACGCTGCCTGCACATATGAAACAATTTGACAACTATAGAAAAACGACGGAAAAAGAAGACGCTGCCGAGCATGTATTCGTAATATAGGCTGTTACTTTGAACAGCATTTTTGTAAAAAGTAAATACTAATGAAAATTTTTCAAGTACATCAAGTACTATATTAGTTTCATTTGTACCCAGAGATAGACAGTGTTAAAATCCACAATTCACAAACAAAAATACATCTTTCTATTCACAATTTATATTTGATCTAAACTATTTCTGGAATTTTTCCATTCCAAACATAAGAACATAGTGTTGATCATGTATTCTAGTTGGAACGTTGAAAAAAAGTACAGCAGACTATCGGGAAACTAACTGTTCAACCTTTAAAGTCTACTTGCTGGAGAGAAACAGAAAAATTCATATATCTCTAAAGGAAGGTACCGAACTACCAGTAAACCTGTATAAAGAATATCATTTTGACTGTATTAGAAACAAGAAGTGAAAAGTGAATCCTGTGGCAGGATAATTCGAGGAAAAAATCGAGCATCCATCATCCCCTTGAGCCGACTGAAAGTCACCCTATACGTCAAAAGGCCCTGTATTTTATCTCGACTACTCGCGAATCATTCTCTCGAGGTTACTAATCGCCTGGTGGTTGGTTCAATTCTCCTAATGTTCTTTATCAGCCACCAGCCTGGTGATAGATATAACGTTCCTGGATGAATTAATGTCATACTTAATAACTTGGTATATATCTTGAACTTCCACATTGATTGTGGGACTTCTCCGGCAGAAGAAAAATCCTGACTGAAGGTATAGGTACTCATAGAGAAAGAATAAATTAGAAGTAAACATTTTTATTTCAATGAAAAGCTTTTATTTAAACGCTCTAAAAATAATGAAATAAAATGTTCCTTCATAATTTTAACACGTTGAACGCCAAGCCAAATTTTAAAAAAAGTTGTTATAGGCCAAAATGATTTTTTGATAGATATTGAGCATATATAAGTGGTGTGTGAACCATTTTGTGATATTCTTCAAAACAAAAATATTATGTAAGCTCATGAGGTGTAGGTCCCATAGGACCTACGCGGTCCACCATACTATGAAATGCTGTTACTGTTCAATGAAGTAAACGGTCGTTTTCGCTGTAAAAACAGGATCCAGCCATGCAGTAAGGCGGTTCTGTACGAATTGCTATAAGATGATTGCTGCAAAAGATGGACGAAAAGTTGCCCAGAATAGGACAAAAAAAATCACCACGTATTGTGATGATTGCGAGGGAAAGCCAGCACTTTGCCTAGTTTGTTTCAATCCATTACACTAAAAACTGTTTTTTTACGTATAAATGTGAAATTATCTTTATACTTCCATTCCATTTCATAGTTTGATTCTCTTCTTTTCATTACTGAAAATTTAATAAAGAAAATATTTATTTATATTTCGACAGTGTTTTTCAAACTTAGGGACCATACATTCACATGTAAACAAAAATTTCGTTGTCCGTGTAGAAATTATTATTCTATTAAGAGACCGTGACGGTCCACCCATACCATCAAACACTTTATCGAAGAGTCCCAACGTTCCAAAATTGATATAACAAATGGTAACATTGTGTGGCCCTACGCGGTCTGAGTGAACCATGAGCTGACGGTCCCTTGGGATGCTCATGGCGCTCAACGTGTTAACTATCAACTTATAACCTCATTATACACAATTTATATGATCATAAAAGCTTGTCGCGATGATCAATGTTCAATAAAATCGAAATTCAAAAAATTTAAACTCAGCAGATTTTACGAAATTAAAACAGTACTAAATTATTCACACAAGTAAGAAATCCAGTCTTCACTTTTCTTCAGCAGATGCAAAACTATTTCGGATTGCTTATCATCCTAAGTTCGATTCATCCAGCTGAAAGCTGATATTTCAAACACCACCACCACGCCCCCCGAAAGGTTGAATGCCCAGGATCAAGTGCCGCCATGTAACTAGCCTACGTTATATGATAGCTCCTCATCTCCATGTCCATCCACCCCCACTCACTAACGAGTGGACTTCAACCTTATGCATTTGGCAATCTGCATATGTTTTATAAAACCCCTTACTTGGTTTCAGTCTTCCGACTTTTAAACCTTTTTGTCTAATATGTGTTTCCTAGCCTGACTTTGCGTGGTGGTTCCCTACCCTAATGGGAAGCAAAATTGAGTTTATGTCTTATTATTATTGGTTTGTTTTTTTGTATATAGGGTATCAAAGGAGAGACTCTTTTGTTTAATTATCTGATGCCTATTATGCAACTTTTATTGATATTGATTTAATTTCGTTCTTTTATCTTATATTTGGTGAATTGGGCGCCTGTACTTTATTCTTCCGAAGCGCGGGTCTTGATTTTCAAACACGAAGAATCAGGCTTCACGAATATAATGAATTCGAGGCAGGCATAGACAAGGCGAAATGATCACCATCTAGAGGCGAAAATTCAACTTGATGTAGAATGAACAAGATATTTCATTGATATTACATATTTCGTTGCTCTATTCAAGCAAATGATCCGTTCGAAACAAGTTCATTGCTACATCGGAATAAGAAAACTTGTATGTTGTTTCAAAGATATATTCTTATCAAAATGATCATTATCTCATCAAATCAACAAAATGTTTATAGTTGAATCAACAAACCATATATTTTGTTGATGGAATTGATATTATACTGTTGATTCAATTAGATTATATTCTTGATTTGAACAAGCTGCTTCCATGAAATATTCATGTATCTGGTTGATTCAACAAAAAATTGCTCAGTCCAAGATAATTCTAGCATAAATAATTTGTTGATGCAACAAATCCTTTTTTTCCGTGTACTGATTATATGACTTGTACTTCTGATGCCAACCACAACCAGTGAATAGTTTGACAGGTCATTGGATTGCCCAATTAACGTATAGGTTTTCCTTTCAATGTCAGCAGCTTCACCTTTCTTGGCACTGGGTAGAAATATCGTTGAAATAAATGTAAACCTTTGACATTGTATGATGGACGAAATATCAATATTTCTTCACATTATGGTTCAGTTTTCTTTCGATTCAACTGTTTGGGTTTCCGTTTCTAACTTCAATGAGCTATCGAAACCATAATTCACAGAAGTCAATCGAACTTTTTTTAATAGTGATTGCAAAAGTGCGGCAGTTTATCTGGCGATTAATGTTGGAAAAATGCATCGGAAAAACATCTGATTGAACCGGCACACGCTATCAGGAATAATCAAAAATTGCACATGGCTGCATTCGTGCAGTTATCTCAACAATGAATCATTGTTGCTGTTATGAATTCGGCTTTTCCCACCCTAAAATGAGCGAGATTATTCGCACGAATTATGATTTTTCGGTGGAAAAACACGCTGATGACTAAACATTTTCGAAAGATAATTCTATCTTGCGATCACAATCATACAATAATACTACACAAATTCTCAAAAAAAAAGACATTTGTTGCAGTCGTTCTGAGAAATGCACGCGTATCTACAGTATCTACATATTTTTTCGTCATAAGCCTTCAATTTTTTGTACTTACCTATAGCTACTATAATATACTTACACCTATTTTTATTCTCTCAGTATCTTTTGTATTATTTAGTTGTTTTACGTATTAAAAATCTAATCAAGTCCACACAATATCCCAACATATCCTAATGAACACATTCAAATAATATCTCTAAAACACAATATAGATATACTGTCCCCAAAACGGCGAATGAATATAGAGCCAACCAATATAATTCGATTGCCAAAAGGATGTAAACAACTTCTTATGATGATGGTAATTCGTGCCGTTCACCAATATTATTCACATTTCCTTCGGATGTGGAATCATTCTTGATAAAATAGTTAGGTACTTTGTGAATCCTGATGACCCTTTTTGGCTCCTCGAAACTATAAGCAACTGTATACGATGGATCACAAATAAAGTATATCAGGTTCGATTATACCACTGCCAAACACATAGATTCATCAGAAATCAGAAATCAGTGACTAGGTATTTCGCAAACTCGAAATATTACTGTACAGCATTAGTTGGCGATTGAGTGTTGTTGAGCTCATGCGCCCATCTCACGCTGTCTAAGCTATCATTGACTCTTATCTCGTTTCAGTCGACTCCCTGCCCTTTCCGTATTCACACCCGCATCTCCCATCCATCCCAACTCTCCTTAGCAACAAGAAATTCGACATACGAAACACATATTACTCTTACTCGGTCTCATCTTAGTACATTTTGAGGCAGGATATAGGTATACTAAAGTTTAGGCATAAACAATTGAAAATTGAATAAGCGTTGATGTAAAATATAATTATAGTACCTACAGTTTATAACATTGATGGCGAGATGGCGTGGTATAGTAGCAGCAGCTGCTTTTTGATATGGGATTTTCTATATTGATATTGATAGTATAGTGGTATTTATTATGATGTAGAATAGGCGTAGACAACATAACAAAAAACATAAAACATCAGTAGAAGCAGCATTAGAACAGGTATTCTCATACAATCATGGGTGCATTTTTCTTGAAACGTTTCATTTTGGTTTCCTTCAAAGGTTAGTCTTACAACTGAGAAATATTCGGGAAACCTGGAAGAAACGTCTGGTTTACACGTTTCAAATAGTCCACAAAAATGTAGAATTGGAATGTTTCTGGAAGGTTTCATTTTTAGTGGGTAGTGTCTCAGCAACTGGTGGAGAGAGCTTTGTGAAGTTCTAAGATCCCGAAAAGTTCCAGAAATCTAGAACCAACAACAATAAGAACAATTTTTAAGAACAATATAGAATCCTCCTACAACGAAACTGAAATCCTGAGTTTTATTTTATGTTTGGTTCGCTATCCTCACATGAGAATTTTTGAACAGCTATTCTGAGTAATTACTACTACTCTTCTTGCACAAAGTAGACGTCCATGATTGCAGCCCTAACAATCCCATTGCGTTGATGTTGGCTTGAAATGCCAAGGTGTTTGTTATTATTTGGGCAAAACATCATCGCTTCCTATGTCTGGTTTGTAACAAGGGTCTTCAGTCCCCATTGCATACTAGCCGTACTAGTGAGATTGCAGAACTGATGGTCCTGCCTTTCGTCTTTATATTCAACGTAAGGTCATATCAATGCACCGAATCAGTTGCCAGGTTGCCACAAAGGCATCCAATAAATGACTGTCAAGACAAGATGACAAGATGCGAACTCGTTTTATATTATTATCCGATATTCTTATAACAAGTGGGTAAACGGATCGGAATTACACTCGGTGTACAATATCGAACAAACCGCCTGAAGCTAGTCACCCACAAAGCACACAGCCGATAACAAACTCTGCTGAAACGCTATGAGCGTCCGTGATTTATGGTTGTTTATGTTCCCCTTAGGTTCAGCTTTGGCTCATTTTGTGAAACGATTTTGATGTATCGATTATCGCAGTTGCTGCACGTATAATGATAATAATAATAATAACTGTTGTGGTTTCGATCTGATAAGGAAAATTGTGTATTTACTAAATAAATGCCAGCTTATCGCTCCGGCCGTTAAAGATATATCTGGGAATGTCATGGAGTGCTGTTTACATTATGAAATTGCTCGTGGACATTTCATGGAATTTCACGATTTTTGTCCTTTCATTGTATACAGGGTGTCGTGGAATTACACGGTCTCATGTTTCACTACTTCATGAAGAATAAAATAAGATATGAAATTGCGGTCCGTGTTTTCAAGTCAATCGGAGAGTAAATACCTAACTCAGTACCTAACCACAGCCATCTTTATAACAAGCCATGGTTAACTTAACAGTATTGGCAACAGTGTACGAAAGTCATTCGCCGGCCATCATGGATATATACAAGATATATACAACCTGTGAGTACAACGAAGTAAATTTGTTTAGTTTATGGATCAATCTAGTGTCCATCATCAAGAAAAGTATTTATTTTGAATAGTTTTATGTTTTTATTTCATTCGATCAAATGAAATAGTCCGAAACACCGATTTGAAAATTAAGTCGTGTCTTCATGATAAGTTGAACAACTTGTATCCCGTTTTTGTGGAAAACATACCCGAGTTATGTTATCCGTATTGTCAATCGTTCTGCTAGTGGTAGGTATATTATGTGATAAGTTCGTCCACAGCTAACGAGACCGTGTAACTGCTATCACGGTCGAATCTCGAACGCTCTCTGACTGAGAAATCACCAATGAATCACCAACCCTATGCATTTTTCAGTACCTCCACTTAACTAGGCATGTCCGCCTCAACAGCGGAGTGATATATATCTGCATCTGATAACTAAAAACTATGTTGGTGACGCTGATTTCAATCGAATATTCGTCAATATGGACAATTTTAGGTTTGAGTTTTCATCTTTTTTTTTTCATAACTGTGGAAAAACTAGGCATTCCTGCACAAAAAAAAATATACATACATAAAAAATTAATTTATCTACTCGATTTTTTTCAACTTTGACATTTTATCTTAAAACCTATGCATTCCTGGAGCTATGTTTGCATGAACTTTTCATCTTGGAATCACTTCCAAAAAAAAATAATTCAAATTCCGTAGCAAAAATCAAATTGTGCCTATGTAATTTCATTGATTCAATATCCAATAGTGAGATTTTATAGAAACAGCGTCAGGTTATGGGTCACTTTTTTCATGTAGACATTGAGTAGATTATTAAAGAAATTTTCTATATTAATTAGATTCGAGTACTTATCCAATTATTATAATCAATCGGGTTATTTCGAATATCACCTTCTAAAAACTACATTCCTTTAATTTCCATTTTTTAGAGAATGATCCCAACTCTGAATTAAGAAAGATAGTTCTTTCGCCAAAAAATGAAATAGAGTTCTTTCGCCAAAATATGAAATAGAGGTCTTTCGCCAAAATATGAAATAGAAGAGGTAGTTCTTTCGCCAAAATATGAAAGGGGGGGATATAATACTTTCGCCAAAATATGAAAGGAAAATAGTCCTTTCGCCAAAATGTGAAGAAGGGGAGGCAGTTATTCTCGCCAAAATATGAAGGATAAGGTATTAAGAAAGCCACCGATGGAAATGGGATAGCAAGACACTTGTCAGCAAAAGTCATTTCCCGGAATTCAGAATAATCACTAGGTATTTCTTCACTGCGCTCTAGGCTCTCGTATCTATTGCCTGGTAACAAGTTTTCGAACATCTGTCAAATTATTTTCATTTTCATGGAAGGAATCATCCCTAGACTTTTTTCCACTTAGACTCAGGAACACCATGTATAAAGAGCATAGGATATTTGAGGCTTATATTGACAACTACCATCCTTATCTCGAAATTTCTCCCAATACACTCGTACCGAGTTTATCAATCTGCTAATCTTCAGCGAACTTTGAAAATCCCAACTTGGCTATATCCATCCGAGCACATGCAATAATTACCTCTGCAAGAATACACACACACGACGATGTGTACACCAGTGTACACTGGATCTTATCTCACAGAGACTATACATTCTCGGTTCTAATTAAAGATCTTTATCGCTCGCGAGAAATCCCATCTGCGTTCTTATTAATTTCTAATACACTTTTATCGCGCCTCCATCTTTGACGGTGCTACCATTGTTTTCGAATTGACATATTCGAGAGAGGTGGAGGTCTCGCACCTTTGGAGTCTTCCAGAGAGATTGTGTGAATAAACATTGTGATGAACCCATGATGAAATAAATTTCGTAACTCCATGGTCTTCGAACATTATAGGGATTCCCTTTCGTGTGCTCCAAACATAGGACAGGTCGATTTTTATTTTGGAGAAATCAACTTCTCTACAGAAAACGTCATTTGACGATCACTCAAAACCATACATATTCTAGTATATGCACCTGCCACTTCAATTTCTGTCCTGTCAAGTTTGATTGAGGTATTGTTCACGCGAAAATTAGCAGATGAGCCGTTTCAGGAAAATTTCGTCTGAAGAAACCACAAAAAATATGTTTTTTGGCAAGGTAGGTAAATCAACGACAATATATAAATAAACAACAATAATAATTTTTTTTCTACTCACATAACTAAAATGGCATTTAGCGTACGGATATGTACCACGCTAAATGATCGATTAATCACGGATTGTCGATATGTGATTTATTCAAAATATTAAACACGTTACCATGGCAACGCAGTTCATTAAACACAGCTTCAGTAATTTGAGACATGTCTGGCCTGTCAATTGTATTAACTGTCAACTGTTATTTTCAAATTTTGTATCAGAATTATTCAAACAATATTCGTTTGTATCAGAATTCCTCAATAAAAATATATGCGAAATGTAGACGAAAGTGAAATCAAAGAAAATGTTCTGGTACTTGCATATCTCCAAGAAGTATAAAAATGAAGCATCCATCTTTGAGAACAATTCATTTAATCTGCGCTAAGCATGACAATAAACGTGCATGAAACAAAGGTTAGTAAGCAATAATGGACTGGACACATCTACAACCAATATCACTTATACGTGTCTCGCTGGTTGCATGCAGTTGCATGTATTATGTTCTCAATTCCCATTCCTTACGAATTATTTTGTAGGTTAGCAGGAATAGCAGGTACTCGTTTATTAAACACTCGCTCCGCTCTGCTCCGCTCGTGCTCAAAATACTCGTTACTAAAAGGACGTTTATAACACTTGTTACATAATATACTATTCTGTGGTTTCTTCAGACGAAATTTTTCTAAAACGACTCATCTTGCTAATTCACGGGTGAACCCATATACGTATTATAAAACAATACGGATCATAACGGGTGCCAGGATGAAGCCAAAAATATGAAACAAATGAATATCCATAAGGATTTGGTGGCATGATACGCATGCGCCATGCGCTATTATAGTAGTCATCAAAGACATGCGTCTCGGTGGACAATGACGTTTACTAGCCTTTCAATCAAAGCACTATGTGTCTGATCGTTTCAAAACTTTTCCTTATGGATAGTCATTTGTCTTCAAAAATCGGCTTCATGTTTCGCTATGGAAACATATAAAGATTATCCGTATTGATTATTAATACGTATATGGGTGAACCATACCCAACAATCAAACTTGACACGACAGAAATTAGACTGACATCTTCTAGATGAAGTATTGCGGAACAGGAAGTTTAACAGCCACTATTCCACTCTTGTTCTTGAGAACCAATCAGAATCGACCATTTTCACGGATTCTCCTGTATTCCAATTTATCAGACTTGCTCTACCAATACAGAAGTCGATTTGACCCACACGTGACCAACCAACCTAGTTTTTTTGCGATAAAATTATTGACGTTCATAACGTCAATTATGTTGGAAGCCAGAATGATGGATGCAGTGTACGCAACTCTCGCGAGGCGCTCGTTTATTGTCTCTTGGAGTATTCATGCGAATAAAACTCATGATTTTACTTTTCCTGGAAATATTCGTCGATTGAGGTACTCCAGCTTGCTGCTTTAATTTGGCTCATGACATTGATTCAAAACTTCTCGCCTACGGCTCGAAAGTTTTGATAAACAATGCCATTCAAAAAATTATTAGGCAACATGCTGTCGTAACAATCGCCGAATATTTCCGGCAAAATAGTATCACTTGTGGTATTACATATGATAATTCAATGCATGTATAAAAAACCCTAACCCAGCGAAAAAAAAATTAGCTCTAAGTTGTCCAGCGACAAAACGGAACATACCATTTGAAACCATGACAACCAGAATCGTGAACGAATCTTGATCGCGTCATCACCATTACCATCAATTCCAATACATTTTTTTCATCTTTCGGCTGCTCTCTTGCGGATTAAAATGAATGAAAAAAGCTTTCAGGATCTGTGAATACATAATCGAGACCGTATTTGAAACAAGGTGAGGATGATTCTACGTATACGAAACATCACATAGGAAAATCAATATCATCACGTTGATTTTTTTCAAAAGTTTCTATGGAAAAGTATATCTAGTTCTTCTGTATCTTCAATAATGAGGCGAAAACATTTGAGGTAATAGGCATCTCTCGATTTTCTTTGAACGGCATACCCCGTATAAAATTCCCTATTTGGATATGGAATATCATGAATTACGAATTCAACGATATTATCTGATTTGAAAAGGGTATTATATGTCTAACTATTACGAGATATTGACCATGAACAAATTGATGAGTTCTTTGGCCATCATATTTCGTAGTAACCGGATACATATCATTATCTATGAATGGGTATTGATAACCTCTATTTATTTATGGAATAATACGGGTTCTTCCTTGCAAGGGAATATGAGTAGACTATTTTTCTGTTTTGCATAATGGGTTGCCAGAAGTACGGTGAGACGTCTGTTGACTTTTCATTTCATTATTCGCGTCGTTCGAGTTGTTTCTTTGTAGTTCAATTATAAACAAACAAAAAAAATTCTGCGGAATCCTCGGATGAAAGCTCCCATGACTATTGATTGCGCCTCTCTGGTGATAGCCCTATATCAATCGCTGATGTGATATACGCCCGTAGAAAGGCTCGCTGAGTGTCGGCGTGGGCCGCGGCCTGATAGACTGCTTCATTAGAGCACAGCTCCGACATGCCCGAGCCGTGTATTGCTCGACTCTTATCACCGATGCATTTGTACTAACCTGTTCCTGTTCTCATCTCGGACATTACTCACGAACTCTCACCACTATTTTATCCACTATCGCCCGTCACTATCACTGAACCGACTCGGACCTCTCATATTTCCTAGCGCGACAGTCACGGTACATTCGCATTATTTTGTTGCAGGCGAAGACTGGAGCAATGAGGGGCCGGACAGCAAAGAAAAATCCCCCACCCCATCGGCCAAGGAGCTCTCAGTATCACCGAAATTAGAAGCCGAAGACAAACCTCCGAGGATCAGGCTCAAAGCTAACCTAGCCACCGATCCGGCCCTGCAAACGAAACCCGAACTTGAATCGAACGAATCTCCTAGCGAATACCTCGCCAACCTGCAGAGCGCTCTAGTCTCCAGAGGATTCTACCTCCCGAACCTCCCAGCTGGCTCTGAACCACGTCAAGCCGAAACTCCTGATAGTCGACAGCCTGCTGTACCGATCTTCCAATGCCCACCTTGTGGTATCCGGTTCTCTTCCCTCAGCACCCTAGAAGCTCACCAAACCTACTATTGCTCGCACAGGGCCAACAAGTCGAACGATGACGAGTCCAAATCGACGGGTGGCGAACCTAGCGGCAGCCAGTCAGACATAGACGCGTCAGAAGCATCGAAGAACCTTCGCGTCAATAAACAGTACACGTGCACTCAGTGCTCGTACAGTGCCGACAAGAAGGTGAGCTTGAACAGACACATGCGGATGCACACAGTATCGCCTAGCCCGAGCAACAGTACCATAACAAACGGTGAAGCACCTTTGGACAGCCAGGACAGATATTGTGCCGAGTGTGACATAAGGTTCAGCTCACAGAAGACATTCCGAGCTCATAAAATGCACTACTGCAATTCCAGGCACATGATCAAATCAGCCCCAAGCGCTAAAGCCACTTCAAGCACCTCGGGGTCATCCCCAACGTCCCCAGTTGAAACAACCTCCTGTAAAACTCCGCCGTCTCCCTCAGTCTCGAATGCTCCTACCCAGCCATTCCTAGCATTACCTACAAATCCCATCATCATAGTGCCATACTCACTATTTCGCAGCGCTAGTGTTCTGCCAGGTCTGTCAGGAGCTGCAGGACTGCCTGCTCCTGATACCCCTTGTTTCCTTCTTCCAAATGGTACCCTCCAACCTATGACCAAAGCCTTGAATTCCAACCAACAAAACCAACAATCCGAAGTGTCCAAGCTAGGGGGTCGACCGAAGGAAACCATAGTGATAAAAGAATCCTCAGCGCCTTTAGATCTGAGCTTGCGCAAATCCCTCGACTGCAATGACCTGGTGATCGATCTAGGAGATGAGCAAGAGAAAGAGAACCTCAAACGCACCCCTAGTCCCGAGAAAATCGAGTGTGTACCGTCCCTACATGGCTCACCTCCCACCACCCCCGTGTCCCTAAACAACTCTTCCCCCAGGCTCATTTCACCGCCGAAAAGGAAGTTGGAGGACAGTTCTGGAGGCACTAGCCCCAAAAGATCTCGGTCTGTCACTAAGTCTGCCACTGGCGATAAGCCGAGGACGAGCCCAGAGGCTTTCGACATGCCCAGCTCGCTACATCCCCTGTTGATGCGCGGATCGCTACCGCTGTTCTCGCCTGAGATACAAATGAGGCTCTCCGAATTGCCAGGGATGCCGCCAGTGATGCCTCAGGTGTTGGTCAAGCAAGGGGTCTCCAAGTGCAAGGACTGTAACATAGTGTTCTGCAAACTGGAGAACTACGTTATCCACAAGAAGCATTACTGTTCGGCGAGGGGTCACGAGGAAGATGCTTCTAAAGCGTCTAGCAGTCCGCCGGTCAGCCCCAAGAGCAGCGGTACTACCAGCCCGGCAGCTCAGTATCAGCAGTTGATCTGTTTGGCATGCGGCATCAAGTTCACCTCGCTGGACAATCTCAACGCCCACCAAGCCTACTACTGCCTGAAGAGAGGCGAGATCGGCGAGGCTAGGAAGTGTGGGAAGTGCAAAGGAATGCTGGAACCTGGACATCAGTGTATGCCGAACACGACGTTTTGGAAGTGTCCCTGTTGCGACGTCATCAGTCCCACGGCCAGTGCAGCCCAGAGGCACATGGACAGTCATACGGGGGTGAAGGCGTACAGGTGTACGATTTGTCGCTATAAGGGGAACACGCTGAGAGGCATGAGGACTCATATCAGGATGCATTTCGACAAAAGGTCTCCCGATCTACAGGTAAGAGGATCCCCTATCTTTCGTTATAGCTCTATAACTATCGGAACAGAGAAGTCATCTATAATTTTCGAAATTAAAGAGCGCTAACATTATTTTTTGGCCAACAGATCGCGCTGCTGAAACGTTAGGTCAGAGTTGGTAGAGAACTCATAAATCTTTTTGTGTCAATCGACCTATTCCTATACGGTATCTTCTTCTCCGTCAATGTAAGAATTGGTTGTGAAGTTCCACATTGAGAGTAAACAACGTGTCTGCTCAAGATTTTCCATAACTTTTCTAATTATCCTACATTCTACATCATTTTTCCTGAATATTTTCGATGAAACAGACCACAGCCATTGGGCTACCGGCAAATTTTACATTTACCTCACGTTTTAGTAGCGCCACCTGGTGAATCTGAACATGTTGTTAGCCCTCATTTCAAAGTATAAAGCATTTTATATCTTATAGTAATTGAATTCCTGATGACTCTCTATAAAGCTACAAAAAAATAAGTTGAATATAAAAATTGTAGGGTTTTATCAATATATATTTTTCAAATGCTATTAAAAAACGATTGGTTACGTCGTCATAATATATGAATGGAGAAACCTATTATACTTAACAGTTATCACTTTCAAGTCTAACATTTCAACAGTAACTGCTATTTCAAAGTATTTGAAACATTGTTAGTGAAAAACTATGCATGTTGAAAAACATCCAGAACACATAATGAGTTCACAATTTTCGCGACAAGGCTGGGAATGATCTATTTTCCACAAAAAAATCATTTCAAAAAATATTATATCTCGAGTTTATATTCAGGATCACTTGTACCAGAAATGAATTCATGAGTTTCAAATTATTTTTGATTCGAAGTAATATAAGTAGTAGTGAAACTCCAGTCATCTCCACAATTGAGTATTCAATAAAAATCTTGGCAGGCATGTTTCGAACCTATGTAAGTTCATATCATCAGCTATGATGTTAGGTATTGATTCTAAAACAAGTGAAGGTGTGAAGAACTGACCAATATTACATGGAAGAGAATACGTATGTACATGGGGAAGAAAAAAATACGTATTTGAACTACCTATAATAACATATTAGAAGATAATTGTATCAATTGCTGAAGGCAAAAATAACAAAAATCAAAGGAAATGGGGATGAACCCTAAAATCCAAGAGGATTGCCCAGTTTCAATTTAAAGGGTTTACTTGGGTTCACCCCCATTGACTTTAATTTTGTATATTCTTGCCTTCAGAAGTTGATACAATTTTCTTCTAATAATATGTTATTCAAATATTTAAATTGTTCCTCCATGTAAGTTATCACTTCTATGTAATATTGGTTAGTTTTTTACTCCTTCTTTTGGTGTAGAATATCTAACATAATAGCTGATAATGAGCCTATATAGGTTCGAAACATATCCTATTGAATAATTGTGGAGATGACTGGGAGTTCCACTACTACTTCATCAATTTACTCCACTTTGAGATACCGTGGACTTCTATTACAGATCAAAGTACCTACGAGTCTTGAAGAATTTCATTCGTTCACGATTTACATTCATTGACATCGATTGTAGTATGGTTTCTTGATGTATGTCCGAAAAATCTACAACTGTTTGTTGATTAATCCGAAGATCGATTATCGGCAAATCTTTCATTCTCTCATTTTCTTTGCAGGAGGAGAAATACATCACCTATATCATCGAGGACGACAGCTCGAACACGATCGAGGTGAACGCCGTCCCCGCCCTCCCGACCCCCAACCTCACCGAGGACCGCTCTCGCTCTCCCAACGACCCCCCCGAGCCCACGCACCACTGCTCCCACTGTTCCTACACCTCCCCGTTCAAGGCCAACGTGCTCCGCCATCTCAAGCTCGTCCACGAGCCGCCCAAAGACGAGCCAATCACCAACGGCGACGACAGGAAGCAAAGGCCGGGGCCAGAGGACGAAGAAGAAGAAGAGATCGTGGTGAAGAAGGAGGCTATGGAGCCGGAGGTGATCATAGCGCAAGGAGACGAGCCGATATTGAAGGAGGAAGAAGAACCCGATCCGACGTCATCGGTGCCGGCGCGGCCTGGTGCGAAGTACTGCAAGTCTTGCGACATCTATTTCAATTATTACTCGACTTTTATCGCGCACAAAAAGTTCTATTGTTCGAGTCACGCCGGCGAGGTGACGATGGCCAATGCGAACAATAACAATCAGACCTCCAGGGCCGCGGAAGAGACGTCGGTGCTATGATGTAGTTAGATCTCGAAACAAATTTAGGGTTAGGATCCTACACCTCCCCGTTCAAGGCCAACGTGCTCCGCCGACTCAACCTCGTCCAAAAGCCGCCCAAAGACGAGCCAATCACCAACGGCGACGACGACAGGAAGCGAGCGGAAGAGGAAGAAGAAGAAGAGATCGTGGTGAAGAATGAGGCTATGGAGCCGGAGGTGGTCATAGCACAGGACGACGAGCCGATAATTAAGGAAGAAGAAGAGCCCGATCCGACGTCCGACGTCCGACGTCATCGGTGCCAGCGCGGCCTTGGCTTTTCGACTTTTATCGCGCACAACAAGTTATATTGTTCGAGTCACGCCGAATCAGACCTCCAGGGCCGCGGAAGAGACGTCGGTGCTATGATGTAGTTAGATCTTGAAACAATTCTAAGGTTAGGGTCGTCTAAGTATGTGTTGAAGTTTGGGCCAGTCCTGTTTTTGTATACGCTCGACAAGAATTGATGCCCCGATAGTTCTTATTTCATTGTAAGGGAAAGCAAACTGTCAGTTTTGAGATGTGAGAAAGTGAATCATCTCTTTTTTTTCCTAATTGACAGATAATAGTGTCCATTGAGGTGTCATAATTCGAATTGGTAGATTTACTGTCAAACTGAGTGTCATTTATCGAATGCATTGTGACTTGTCAAATGTCACTAATAATAATTAGAATCAAATTAGAATTTCCGCACAGGAAAGTGCACTTTTTCAATCATTTTGCTCAGTATAATTAATGGCACAGGTGCTGTTCGATAAACTACAATTTTTTCACATGCCTTTCATAAATTATATCATTTCGTTATCAGTATTCGCACAATTTTCGATTCACCCAAATTTTGATTCGTTCGCCATCTTCGAATATACCCGAACGATGCGATGTTGCCAAATCTGGATGAACATCATTCTGGCCTTATCATTATTGAATATTTAAATTTTTTGATACACGTAATATGAATGTTAGGTACATATTTCGATTTGCCTAATTTTTGATTCACCCAATTTTCGATTTGGCGAATTTGGTGAATCGAAAATTGGGTGAAACAAAATGTTGGCCCAACGACATATTTGAATGTGAAATGATTGTTGATAATTCCCGTTTCATTGAATTCGAGGAAATGTGGCATTATTTGACTTGACAACAACGCATCTTTCGGGTATGTTCGGAGACGGTGGGTGAATCGAAAATTGGTTGAATTGAACATTGGGTGCAGCCGGCTCTTGGAATATTAGAAAATTAGAAGTTTTACAATAATTGCTTTTCACATCTCAAGAATAACAGAATAAGCTATCCCAACTACCATATTGAGAAACATTACTGACTGTTTATGAAATGTTTGATAACCAACAGAAATAATTGATAGATATATATACTCTGATAGGTACTTTGAATACATGAATTTGATTCAGTTATTGAAATGAAAATTTGAATTTCAAATGTTTATGAGTACCTACAATTAAGTAGGTTACCTTCAGTTATATGCCGTCTGTTATGTTCACCTATAATAACTGTAGCAAAATAAAATTTAGGTCTTACAGATTTCCATGTTATATGATACTTTATGAGTGGGGCATCAATGTTTTTGTTGTTATTGAATGTAGATCATTCTGTGGATCTTTGAATATAATGCAATATGTTGAATAATACCTAATGACTTTGTTGTTGTATAAAGTTTGTAGATTTATAATTTGTTCATTATTTTGTAGTATATGTTGAAAATATGTAATGCCAAAGCATTTTATTAAATTATACATTTCTTCAAAGAAATTTATGTTTCCCTAATATGTGATATGTTTTCTACTCGGTTTTCTAATTCGAAATATCAGTAAATACAAACAGGTTTCAAATCTGGGATACCAAAGGTAATGACCATACAAGTTGGACACACAAAATGTGTTGTTTTTGAAATGAATGTATTTTGAATATATGAATATCTTTGGAATGCCAGATATCAGTAGAAAATGAATATTTTGATACAAATATTAAGTCCAATACCATACTTTTTGTTTCACATACATTTTTGAAATATTCAATTTTGTATTCAATAATTTCAATATGCTACTAAAGTCATATTTATACTAGCTGTGTAGTTGTAAAAACATCTACCCATGGTGAAATACAGTGGTTAATGTTCTTGGAGACAATAAATGATTCTATTTCCAAAAAGAATGTGTTTTTTTATTTTCCTATAATTACAAACACTTGAATGTCAACATTGAAAACTACACACAACCATTTTTTCAAACATAATATTATTAAATGTTTGAAATTGTAAATTGGTTTTGGGAATTTATACATGCTGATTCAAGTATTGTATACAGAGGAATGGTAAGAATCCTGACATCAAATAAGGTGAATTGGTCAATGGCCCCATTGAAATGTAGATGGTTGTTGTTGATTCACAGTTGAAATATTTTGTAATATCACAGAACCTCTGCTTCACTGGTATTCATAAAACTTTGGCAATGGACATTTTCCAAGGTGGCAAAATGTTGCACCATCAAGTTGTTTCTCATATCCTAACTAAATCTCCAGATCTGCTTCATTCAACATAAACATGTTCCTAGAATATCCCTCAGCAATAATTCACCTCCTGATTCATTTATATAAAATATTCTAACTTTATCACCCTTTGTATTTTTAACCACAAACTTGTTAGGGGTACTTACTCAAAATTAGCCAATCATCATTATTTTATGAAAGGATCCTCCATTCAATCAATGCTCTGTGTACAATTTAATGTGAATCAATATGTATAATTCTGGTGAAATTACAACTTACTAAGGAATGTATAATAAAAAACATTTTTTTTACTATGGACCTACATAAATAGTATATCAAGTAGTATATACCAAAAATAATACAGATTGCTAGTAATAAGGACCTACATGATTTTTTATCATTTTGTACAAAATAAAATTTGGGTGAGTGACCTCATGAGTATGTATACTAGAGAATGAAGAGAAAAACACTAGAGAAATATTGACCTACTATTCACTATGCTCATCATCCTCAATATCTCCGAAGTAAAGTCCATTATTCACCATAGGCTTCCCATCACCTTTCAAATGTTTGGCCTTAAACCTAGCATACCTTTCACCATATAAATGAACATCAGGCTCAGTTTCTGATCCAGAACAGTCATTTTCTGAGTCATCATGGCAGTAAACAAAATCATCACCATCATCACTAGAAAGTAGATCATTCTCCATTCCCATATTTTCCATTGCTTCTACCATATCCTTCTCATCAACAGACTCCATATCTGATTCATCAGGGTAATCATTCTTCCAATTGCATTCTGCATTGGAATCTTCACTATCCTGATCAGAATCAAGAACACCTGTGTCAACACTTGAACCAGCTGGTAAAAATTCCATCAGATGTTGGACACTATGGTAATCCTCGATTTCTGGAAAGTCATCTGAGCAAGTGTAATATAAATCATAAACATATTTGTTTTGTTGGACATTCTGATCTGCTTCACTAGCCTCATTCTTGTTGATGTCAGTCTCCACATCAAGGACTGTTATTTCATACTTAGATTCACTTGTATCAGGAGTCTCAGATGAATTGATAGAGGACCGGAAACGATTCACTATCTTAAAACGATTGCTTTTAGAGTTATCTTGATGTTCATTTCTCAGTTTTTCATTCAGGCTCACTATATGTTTCTTGAATTTTGTTTTCAATTCCTCTACTCCATCTAAGTACTTTATTTTCAAATGAGGCAGAATGTCATCTTCCTGAAATGAATATTATGTTGTATTTGAATTCCAAAAGAAAGGTCAAAAAGATCATTCTTACTTTTTGTAAGGTTCCAGCAAATTTGAGAACTGTGGATGAGAGCTGTAGACCATCTTCAATGCTTTCACTTTTACTTTCCAGCTTCCTTCGTTTGCAGTTCAATATCAAAGCATCTAGAGGATCTTCATTCAAAGGCCTTTTTATCCTGACAACAGCGGTCATCTTTATTTCGGATTTTATTTTAAATATATCAATTTTCAGGTTATATTGTTGTTTTCTGTTGCTGAATCCATAACACTACACTTAACAATCACTAGACAGTGACATTATACGATCTCTGCAAGTTTCTGAATGTTCTGTGCATATATGTACTACTCTTATGAAGCATAGCTCCCAATCGACTAATAGGCGTTGATGCCGACGTAGGGAAAAAGTAATACGAAACTACGAAAGTTGTCGAGCCATATGGCTGTTTCCATCCTTTACTTTCTGTCCTTATAGATTCAAAACGTACCTCTCATTTTGGTCCCATTTTTGTTGAGATATCGTATAGGCGATGCGCCATATATAGAAATAGTACATATATGGTTTTGTGCTTGTGTTCGGTGTTCATGGAAATTTGAAATTTGACTCATAAGTGAAATCATGAATGACATGTGACATATTGACATTCAGACATTTATAGTTCTGTGGATCTTGGACATGGACATCTTACGTCTTGACTTGATCTTGCATTGTGGCCGTATCACTATAAACATTTTTTATTTTTTTTATTGTATTTTATAACAACTTATTCAGGCTCCAGAGTGATCATGAAGCTTTTATCTGAACTTTTGAATCTCAGTTTTGTGTAGTGCAATTCGACATGTTAGCAGGTAATACAGAACGTGCTAATTGTTTTGCTATGCTGTATCTAGAATGTCGGTTAAAGTAGTGGTGTGGAGTAGTTTCCATCAAACAGAGTGGTGGTATTTTCTTTTATATTATCATTATTAATTATAACATTATCTTGAGTATGCATAACTTCAAACAATACTTTACAGTGAAACGGAAAAATATCAGTATTGACTTGATGGGTAGTGATCTACCTATTCAAAAATCCGGATAATTGTACCTGGTTCAGATATAATGGCTGAATCCCAATACTATGAAGTTCTGAAACAAGACGAAAAAAGTTCTGAACAGCAGTATTTCTCCAATGTTGAGGATCAAACAGTGCAGTATGTGATTACACCCAACAAGACTCAAACCCAGTTCCCAACACAACAGGTGAGACTTGAGTTTAATACTACACAAAATCAATCCATTAAATACTCTCAGATTTCAAACATCAAATTATGTCTGAAATTGAATTAATTATGTCATTTTCTCAGTTATACTTTGATTTGAAATAATCATAATTTATTATTGTTACTATTATTATCACTCATTCTCTGATTTTATAAATGATTTTGCTCCATTAGATTGTAGTTGCTAGAGGAGATCAGTTGATGCTACTGAATGGTCAGCCACAACAAATTGTTATTGATCAGTCTGTGATTCCTTATCCTACCAACGAAATACAACTACAGGTATTTGGATGCAAGGCTTTGGAATTTATGCATTTTGTCTTAGATGTATTTACTAACATTGATTAGTGGTTTTCACTTCAACAATATGGATATTTCAATCTTGATTGTGGCAGAAGTGCTAGATTAGTTTGAATATGTTACAAAACATAAAACACCAGCTGACTATAATGACAAGAATGTCCTTATTCAAAAGTGGAAATCATTCATCATTATATTTTTGTGCCATGAGTGTAGTGAAATGAAGTGTTGCTTGATTCTAATATTCATTCTGATTTCTTTCTTCAATTACCTATACCATAGATTGAGGAGTTAATCTATGCCTATACATGATGTGTGGCTTACTTTAATTGAGACCATCCCTATTCATTTTCTCTTAGCAACTAATACTGTTTGAAGC